GGGGACGGCGGCCGGGCCCGGATTCCCGCTGGCATCCCGGCTCCGGGAGCGCTCACGGCTCCCTCTCCGCATCAGCCCTGAACATGACGAGCGCCTCCAGCTTCCAGATGCTGCGCGGCTCCGTCATCATCTTCACCGGCCTCCTCTCCGTGGCCTTCCTGGGCCGCAGGCTGGAGCTGAGCCAGTGGCTGGGGCTCCTGGTGACCATCGTGGGGCTGGTGGTGGGGGGGCTGGCCGACCTGCGCGGCACCCACGAGGAGAAACGACAGCTCAGCCAGGTGATAACGGGTACGTGGGGCCTCTGGGGAGCTGGTGGGGGGCGAAGAATCATAGAATCATAGAATGCCTAAGGTTGGAAGGGACCTCTAGAGATCATCTAGTCCAACCCCCTGCACACGCAGGGTCACCTAGAGCACGTGGCACAGGGCTGCGTCCAAGCGGGTTTGAAGATCTCCAGAGAAGGAGACTCCACAACCTCTCTGGGCAGCCTGTTCCAGTGCTCTGGCACCCTCACTGTTGAGAAACTTTTCCTTAAGTTCCTGTGGAACTTTTGGTGCTTCAGTTTGTGGCCATTACCTCTAGTGCTGTCGGTGGCCACCAGTGAAAAGAGGCCAGCACCATCCTCCTCACTGCCTCCCTTGAGGTACTTCTAGACACTGCTCAGGTCCCCTCTCCCCTTCTCTTCTCCAGGCTGAACAGGCCCAGCTCCCTCAGCCTCTCCTCATAGGGCAGATGTTCCAGGCCCCTGATCATCCTTGTAGCCCTGCGCTGGCCTCTCTCCAGCAGCTCCACATCCCTCTTATACTACCCCGTTGTGCCCCTTGCGGGTACCAGGGCACCACGTTGTCCCTCTCTTCCCCCCAGGGGACCTGCTCATCGTCATGGCGCAGGTGATCGTGGCCATCCAGATGGTGCTGGAGGAGAAGTTCGTCTACAAGCACGACGTGCACCCGCTGCGGGCGGTGGGCACCGAAGGTCCGCGGCCATCCCAGGGCATCGGGGAGCGGGATGAGCTCTTGGGAGCTTCATGTTGGTGCCAGGGGGTGCTGGGTGCCCCTCTGCTGTGGGGCTGCTGATGGGTGCCCATCTCACACCGCGTGTCCCGTTGGCTCCTCAGGCTTCTTCGGCTTCGTCATCCTGGCGCTGCTGCTGGTGCCCATGTCCTACATCCCGGCGGGCGGCTGGAGCGGGACGCCGCGGCGCAC